TTTCTCTCTATCTCTTTTCCCCTTCGTCTTCTTTGATTTGTTCTTGTTTTTCAATGTACAGAGTCATATACATACAAATCAATAATCAATCATCAAGTTTTCCGTTTGATTGAGCTGAAAATGAAAAGAACTAGTTGACCTGATCAAGAAGGGTAGATATAGTGAGTATACTTCAATGGAGGTGGTGGCGCAGTTGATGGTCAAATAGTGGTAAAGACACACATTTTACAGCCTTACCCGATATCAGGTCACATAATGATATTTTAAAACATGAAAACGAGAGTTCATTCCCTTAATGCACAAAAAAAAATGTTGGGTGACATTTTAAAACACGACAAATTTGATGGATTAATATGACATTTGCCCTATAATAATATAAGTCTTATTGTAATTATTTTAGTCAATTAAACTAGATTTAAAAAATAAAAATTTTGAATTTTACTAATAACTAATTTTCTTAATTTAAAAAATTCGATTATTAAAAGTCTATTCTCAAAGAATACTAGTATATTTTTTCAAAATGATTATCTATTAATCATGCATACACAATATTAGTAAATGGATACTGTGTGTTCATCTTATCATTATTACCCAAAGTATATGATTGATTTTAGCGAATTTTCTACATGTAATCATTCTTATCGATTTTAAAAATATGAAAAGAACAATCGTATAGAATGAATATAAATTACATTACGTGGGAATGAAATAGAAAGGGATAATGTTTAAGAATATACATCAAACTATATTATGTTAGAATGAAAAAAAATTATGTTAATAACGTTATCAATAGAATAAAATACATAATGACAAGTTTACACACATTCTAATAAGAATCACATGATCAAAATAATAAAAAAAGAAGAGAGAAGGAGAAACCAATATCATTATTTGAGAATGTATATCAAACTACACATTTTGTGAGAATAAAAAAGAAACAAATGATGGTCTTACGGTAATAACTAACTTCAATATCAAAAGAATTAACCGTAGTTCCCTTATATAAAAAATAAAAAACTTTAATATTGGACTTTGGAATAATTATTGAATGTTGTACGATGGTTGTCTCATAAGGCCTTCCGGTATACCGAACACGAGAGCCTTCGTGGTTGACGTGACAACTAGAGTGGTTCGTGCACGCCACTCCTATACACCGTTATCCTTCATCGTCGTTGTCAGTTGTGGTGAGGAGGACGAAAGATAATGCCCAAGAATAACAAAAGAGACAGAAGGACATTATTTTGACCTTTGACAATTGACTTTGATGTTAGATATTTTAGTGCATTCATTTTTATTCATTGTAAGTTTCACATTCAATGTGAAACCAATATCTAACAAATTTTATTTATTGTTTGTTCAATACTTTTATACATATAGGTTAACTTAAAAATATTTTTGCAATTATTTTACTTTTATGTTTAGAGTCCTTAAACAATTTTTTTTGTGTGTTTTTATTTAAAATCGAGACTAACCTTTTAAAAAGAAATTCAATAACTTCGACCATTGAAAAAATCAAATTCTCTCGGATATATAAAAATCAAATCAAATCATAGATATTTGGTCAAAGAAAAGATCAAAATGCAAATAAAAAGTCTATCCATCAATTTTCTTCATAATAAATTTATAGTTTCTTAACTTTTCTTATTTTAGATTATCCCATCGAGTTTATTCAATAAAAGAGTTTATATTTTGTATATTTTTATCTGTTTTATACTTATTTATTTTATATAAACTTAATTCTTATCTATTCATGATTATTTCATTGAAGTCATTATAGGAAACCCCATTGAGTTTATTTAATAAAAGACTCTATATTTTGTCATTTTTCTTTTTTCCTTCTAAAACTATTTTTTATCAAAATAAATCAATTTTTTATTTATTCTTTGTTATTTTATTAATGGAGTGATTACCAATAAGTTACTATATACCCCCTAACTCATGTGCCTATTAAGCATCAACATATCACCTTCATATTAAAATCATGGTTAAACTTGCACATGAATATGCAAATGAAGGATCTTGGGCCTCTCAGCTATTTTTTCGGTGTCACTGTTTCCTACTATGCAAGTTTATTGTTTTTATGTCAAAAGAAACATATTATGGAAGTATTGGATGTCATGTTGAAAACCTGCTCCCACTCTCATCGATACAAATGAAAAGTTAGTACCGATAATGAACAATCATACTCCAACCACACTCTATATCGTAGCTTTGCTGGATCGCTTCAATACCTCAAATTCACATGGCCAGATATATCATATGTAGTTCAATGTATATGTTTCCACATGCATTCACATCGTGACTCCCATACCGTTGCTAAAGTGTGTAATACATTATACTCAAATCCATCTTTATTATAATCTTACATTTTATAATACTTTTTCCACATGTATTACTGCATATACCTGACGTTGACTAGGTCAACTGTCCCGACTTAGAATCATAATCTTTTTTCCACTTGTTGGATTAAAAACCTTATATTTTAACTTTAAACCGGTTATAATAATTTAACTAGTTTTCACTTTATAATCTTATGAGTAAATTACACGAATGGTCCCTATGGTTTAGGGTAATTTGCGCGTTTGGTCCCTAACTTATTTTTTTAACTCGGAAGGTCCCTACTGTTTGTTTTTGTTACGCGTTTGGTCCCTGTCTTACCTACAAAAACTATTTTGCCCTTGATTTTTTAATTTATTTAAATAAACACACCCCAACCCCACCCCCGTCACCTTACCTTACCTACCCCATCATTTTTCCCTATTTAAATAATAGTCTTTTTTGGTAACACAGGGACCAAGCGCGTAACAAAAACAAACAATATGGACTTTCCGAGTTAAAAAAATAAATTAAGGACCAAGCACGCAAATTACGCCAAACCATAGGGACCATTCGTGTAATTTACTCTAATCTTATTTTCTAACTTTTTTTTTTAATATTCATATTTGTGCATTTAAGGTTGTAAAGAAAACATGTAAAAATTACTCTTTTACATATTCTGAATTATGTATGTTTTTGTAATATTTTCTTGTTTTTATAAATATATTAAAAACAATTTCTATAATTTCTTTTATGGATTTAAGATTGTGAAAACATGTAAAAGTTTTTTTTTCATAAAATTTTAAAATAAAAATAATAATAATAAGTTGTAAAAATACTTTGTAAAAAAAACAGCAATTTTATGAAGAATTATTTCATAAAACAAATCTATATAACTAATATGTAAAAATGTTATTAAAAAAAATAATATAAAATTATAAAAATAGATGATACAAATTTATAACACGAATTTGAACCAAATTAATAATAAAAATTAAAATTTGAGCATAAATTATAATAAACGCGTGACAGGACCAAATTATGATACTTTCATGATTAATTTACTTTCATAATATAATAAAATATCTAAACCGATATTTTACAAACCTTTGAAAAAGTATGAGGCAGGGCTTTGCCGACGACTAAAGAGAGTTTTTAACCAAAATGAGGTTATTGAAAAAAATATTTAGTATAGTATTAAAATTATTTACCAAACTAGTGTTTTTCTTATTTTTTTTTATTTTTCAATATTTCTTATTTTTTTTCTATTTATTAAAAAATCAGCTTTTCTACTTTTTTTTAATTCAGTTTTTTTTTTTACTATTTATTGTTTTTAAATATTTTTTTTTATTTTTGTTTAAGTTTTTTTTATTAAATTTTATATACTTTTATTTACTATACATTTAACATAAATATCTAACATACAAAAGAGCTTTATTATTTTGGTTCGTTATATGCCTATTTGATTAATTTTTTTCTACCGTTTATATAGTGATTACGAGTTTACTTTAATTTTCTTACCATTTATTTATATATATATTTTAAAAACTTAACCCTTTACAAAAAGAAGTTTTTTCTCATGTCTTTATTTATACAACCTTTGCATGCTTTTTAATTGAGTTTCTTTACATTGAAAATAAAATATAAAAAGCAAAAGTAATAGTTGTGTTATAAAATTTTGTCCGTATATTTTTTTTTACAATTTTGTTTTCACGTGTTTTGAAATAATAGTTTTTATTGATTTGGAAATTTGTTTTCTAAATATTTTTTACATATTTCGTTTTATGCATGTATTTTATGATTTCTTTCGTTTTACAAATTAGATTTTTTTAAAATTTGTTTTCTATGTTTTTACATATTTGTTTTTATGTAAAGACAAAAAATATGTAAACTTTTGCTTTTTATATTTTATAATGTAAAGACACTCAATTAAAAAGCATGCAAATGTTGTATAAATAAAGACATGAGAAAAAACTTGAATTTGTAAAAGGGTTAAGTTTTTAAAATATATGTATAAATAAATGGTAAGAAAATTAAAGTAAACTCGTAATCATTATATAAACGGTAGAAAAAAAATTAATCAAATAGGCATGTAATGAACCAAAATAATAAAGCTCTTTTGTATGTTAGATATTTATGTTAAATGCATAGTAAATAATAATAATAATAATAATAATAATAAACTGATATTTAAAATAAATAGTAAAAAAACTGAAATAAAAAAAAAAGGAAAAAAGCTGATATTTTAAATAAATAGAAAAACAATAAGAAATATGAAAAATAAAAAAAATGAAGAAAAACACTAGTTTGGTAAATATTTTTCAAACTATACTAGATTGATAAATATTTTTTTCAATAACCCTATTTTGGTTAAAAACTCCCACTAAAGAACTAGAGTTTATATTTATAGTTATGGTCCTTGTAATTTATAACTTTTATCAAGTTTAGTTTGAGGGTAATAAAGTCTTTTTCCACTGTTAGTAACAAAGCTTAACTAAGGGTAACGGATCCAAGGACCACCGTTGTTACCAAAACCATCCACAATTCCACATGGACCATCCATGACAAAAAGTCATCAATAGTAGGACCAAATATGAGATTTTGGCCAAACCAAAGGGATCGAAACCGTATTTTACTCCGATTTGTATGTTGAAAACGTGAAATGCTGAAAACTGGAGGGTGAAGGTCAAGGACTCAAGGATACACTACACACTACACTACACAGATTTGTCAAAACTCAAAAGAGAGCCATGACAAAGCCGGCAAGTTGGAAGTGGTCCGAATCCCAGATAAATTATTAATACTCTTTCTATTTCTAACTATTTCGACCTGAAATATTGTTCCCCTATGCACGTTCAAGCACGCAGCTGCTGCTTCTTGCCGGAGAATGACCGGATGGAAACTTTTCGCCGCCGCCGTAGCTATTGTTGCTTTGCTGCATTTCCCGGAATTGGTACAGTGTCAAGTGGTTGGCGACGAATTCGCCGGTCAGATCAACGACACTGCGTTCCTCCCGTTCATTACCCAGGCAGTATATAGCAGTCTCTCCAACGCCACTTCTACTATTCTTAATAGCGATGTTGGAAATCGATCCTCCTTCTGCGTTAAGGATCGGTAAGCAAACTCTGTTCATTTGCATAGAAACAAGATGTAATCGAATTGGAGCAAGCGTAAGAGATTTGGATTATTTGGTAAAACGGATAGTTGACTAAACTTTTTGTTCAGTTTTAGTTTTTGGGAAAAGGGAAACAAAAACTGTAGCGACGATGTAATTTTCTAGATGTCAAAGACGAAAATTTTGCAACTATACAAAATCATTTTGATGTTCGATTTGCAACAAACTTGACAATCGATTTGCAATTGAATTTAGAAAGTTAAAGCAGAGCTCTATTTGAATGAAAAGTCAAATCAAGATTTTCATTGGGTGAATTTGATTCGATTGTCTACTTTTTATGTTGTTAACAGAGAAGTCGAGTGGAATCGAGCTTTCAACTATTCTTCTAATTTGGACTTCTTGACTGCTTGCATTCAGAGAACCAACGGTATGATTCTAGTCTCTTACAAATCACCTGCCCTAATTTCGCTTCTCTTTCCTTGATTAGGTGTTCCAAAAATTCCTTCGCATATTAATTCTAGTTTCTAACAGTTGAATTCTATTTGGGATTCCGATCATCCAACAGGAGATGTTACACAACGCATATGCACAGCAGCAGAGTTAAAATTCTACTTTGGAGGGTTCTTTTCTGGTAGCAGTTATATGAAGCCTAACAGGAACTGTAATCTAACCTCCATGATTTCTGGCTGCGAGCCAGGATGGGCATGTGCCACGTCATCCAGCGAGGATGTTGACATGGAAGATTCTCAGAATATTCCTGCTAGAACTCTCAACTGTCAGCCTTGTTGTGAGGGTTTCTTCTGCCCCAATGGTCTTACTTGCATGATCCGTAAGTATTATTACTATTTGGAACCCTAACCCTTGAATATTCAAAGACACTATCTTTACTAATTCATGAATCTTGTTTTATTTTTATTACAGCTTGCCCATTGGGTTCACATTGCCCAACTGCAACCCTTGACAGAGCTAGTGGCATATGTACACCGTAAGTTTGAGTCCCTTCTTCTGTATTCATGTTTGTTACACTAGTTGGCATTTGGTTGAGAGAAACTTTATTACTTTTTACATGCAGATATTCTTACCAACTGCCACCTGGACAGCCAAATCATACCTGTGGTGGAGCCAATATATGGGCAGATATTCGCAGCAGTAGTGAGATGTTCTGTTCATCAGGCTCATATTGTCCATCAACTACACAAGAAATACCTTGCAGCAGCGGGTATTCATTCATTTATGTCCCTAAAAAACCAAAACATTTTCTTGCCAAATGCTCATATCCATGTCGCTTGCAATTTCAGGCATTACTGTTCAACAGGCTCTACCTCTGAAAAACGTAAGGCCCCTTTTTCTCTCTCTTTATTCCCCTTTGGTGATGTTGTCTGGATATATATATATATATATATATATATATATATATATATATTGAGATCATGAGTAAATGTGTAAAAAGTTAGAACTTAATGGGGAAAGCATCTGACTTGTGACCCTTATTGTCTCTACTTGCAGCATGCTTCAAGTTGACTTCATGTGATGGCAACAGTTCCCACCAAAATATTCATGCATATGGAGCGATGCTTATAGTAAGCTAAGCTTAGTCGGTTTTTGCATAAATCCTATATTTTAAGAAATGGTAAAAAATAAACATGTAAAGTTTTATTGTTTTTGTGTATCTACTAGGCTGCAATATTTACTATTCTGCTCATCATCTACAACTGCTCTGACCAAATACTTAGCACCCGAGAGAGAAGGCATGCTAAAACCAGGGAAGCAGCTTCAAGACGTGCAAAAGAGAAAGTGAAGGCACACGAAAGATGGAAAATGGCTAGAGAAGCTGCTAAGAAGCATGCAGCTCAAATCTCTCGTACATTTTCTCGTAAAAAGGCTGCTCCACAAACTGAGGAACTCTCCATATTACATCATGGTAGAGATGAAATCGATGATGATCAAACTACTTCAAATGTGTCCAATGAAAACAGATTGGAGCTAAGCAGTCAAACATTTGATAGACAAGTAATGGATAAGGATCTTTACAGTTATGAAGGTTTGAGCCGGAGCACAGAGAGTAAAGCCACAAATGGTAAAAAGAAAATGCAAAAAGAAAAAGAAAAGGAAAAAGGAATTCATACCCATAGCCAAATCTTTAACTATGCGTATGGTCAGATTGAGAAAGAGAAAGCCATGCAAGAGAATCAAAACCTGACTTTTTCTGGAGTAATCTCAATGGCTGTTAACACTGAGGTGAGAAAAAGACCTAAAATTGAGATTGCTTTCAAGGATCTTACTCTAACTTTAAAAGGGAAAGGGAAGCATCTGTTGAGATGTGTGACTGGAAAAATCATGCCTGGAAGAATCACAGCTGTGATGGGCCCATCTGGGGCAGGGAAGACAACTTTTCTTAATGCAATAGCAGGAAAAGCACATGGATGTAGTATAAGCGGTTCCATTTCTGTAAATGGGAAACCGGATTCAATCCATTCATATAAAAAAATCATTGGATTTGTCCCACAAGATGACATTGTCCATGGGAATCTGACTGTGGAGGAGAATCTCTGGTTCAGTGCAAAATGCAGGTATGAAAGTAAAAGAGTAAAAGAGTAAAAGTATGTATATGTTGATGGTTGGTATTTTTGTTTGTAGGTTGCCAGCAAAGATGCTTAAGCAAGATAGGGTTTTGGTTGTTGAGAGAGTTATAGAGTCGTTAGGTTTGCAAGCAGTGAGAAGCTCTTTGGTTGGAACTGTAGAGAAGCGTGGGATTTCTGGAGGACAGAGGAAAAGAGTAAATGTTGGTTTGGAAATGGTAATGGAACCTTCTGTTTTGATTTTAGATGAACCGACTTCTGGTTTAGATAGTTCGTCTTCTCAGTTGCTTCTTAGAGCTCTCAGAAGGGAGACTATTGAAGGGGTGAATGTTAGCATGGTTGTTCACCAACCAAGGTAAGTAAGTAATAAATAGTTTGATTCAGTGAATTAAATTTAAAAGTTTGAATTAATAATAAATGGTTTGGTTTGGTTGCAGCTACTCTTTGTTCCAGACGTTTGACGACTTAATACTTTTAGCAAAAGGCGGACTTACTGTTTACCATGGACCAGTAAGAAAAGTTGAAGAATACTTTTCAGGGATCGGGATCAAGGTTCCAGATCGCGTTAATCCTCCAGATTATTTCATAGATGTTCTAGAAGGAATGGTGAAACCAAGCACAAGTTCGGGTGTAGTAACTCATGAACAGCTTCCAGTTAGATGGATGCTTCATAAGGGTTACCCTGTGCCCCCTGACATGCGTAGAAACTCTGCTATGTTTCCAGGTAATAATGATGTTGGAAGTGCCACAGAGGAACATTCCTTTGCTGGTGAGATTTGGCAGGATGTAAAGACAAATGTGGAGGTTAGAAGAGACGTTTTACGCCATAATTTCTTGCCAACTAAGGATTTGTCAAACCGCACCACTCCTGGAATTTTCATCCAGTATCGATACTTTCTCGGAAGGTAATAAAATAAGATAATTTGTCTTTAATAAAATTAGAATTTTCTTTTACATTACATAATTTTGAATGAATGTTTAGGGTTGCTAAGCAGCGGTTACGGGAATCTAAGCTACAATTAATAGACTATTTAATCTTATTACTTGCTGGAGCATGCTTGGGTTCGATTATTAAATCAAAAGAAGAGACTTTCGGGGCACCTGGATACACTTACTCCATTATTGCAGTATGTAAGTATCACTGGTCACTGTTATTACTACTGTTACTGATACTGATAAAGCTGTTTGTTATGTTATGTTATGTTATGGCAGCTTTGTTATGTAAAGTTGCGGCGTTGAGAACATTTTCATTGGATAAGTTACAGTATTGGAGAGAGCGTGCATCTGGGATTAGTAGTCTGGCTCATTTTCTAGCTAAAGATACAATCGACCATTTCAGTACAGTGATAAAGCCAGCGGTTTATCTGTCCATGTTCTATTTCTTCAGCTACCCGAGATCTTCTTTTGCAGAAAACTACACTGTTTTGGTGTGTCTTGTGTACTGTGTGACTGGCATTGCCTACATGTTGGCTATATTTCTTGATCCTGGTCCATCACAGCTGGTGGGTAACAAATCAAAATATTAATTACCATTTTGCATTAAATAAGCATTTAATTTACAAAGTTTAAGAAACTCTTTATGGGTTATGCAGTTTGCGGTGCTCCTTCCTGTAGTTTTGACTCTTGTGTCAACACAGACAGAAAATAGCGACTTCTTGAAGAATGTGTCAAAGCTGTGTTACCCTAAGTGGGCCCTTGAAGCATTTGTAATTGCGAATGCAAACAGGTAATGATGGTTTAAAATATTTTTGTGTTGTAGAAAATAAGGCGTTGGTTTGAAAATTGAGCTTTTTGATCAAACAGGTATTCTGGGGTGTGGCTGATAACGCGTTGTGGGGCACTTTTAAGATTCGGGTACAGTGTACATGATTGGGGTCTCTGTATATTCGTCCTTATCATGATTGGTGTTCTTAGCCGTATTTCCGCCTTCTTTGGCATGCTCATTGTTCATAAGAATTAAGACCTCTCAAATCTCAATGTTTCATGTTTGCTTTGCAGCATATAAGAGAGATGTGATATGAAATGAATGTCGTATTAGTGAGATATAGTTAGTTAGTTAGTTATATTAGGTTATACTTGTAGTATACCATACCAGGAGGAGTAGAAAACTTCATTTTTTGAGTTTCATTCATTTTCATTTTCATTTTCATTTTCATTTTCATTTTCATTTGTTTGTGTGAAAACTGAAAAGCAAACCAACCGGTTTTTGCTTTTCCCATCCCATTCCCACTCCCATGTAATAATAATATCTCCATAAAACTGCCTAGTGAATCAGCTAGTAAATGATTATTTCTTCCAAACCTTATTATTCATTGTAATATATATATATATATCATTTGTAACACCTCAAACTTCATATATTATTTTAATTATTATATGAAATCAGATCTCAATTGTAAAATGTTGTTTATTTGTTTGATGATGACACAACAATGGCATATGTAAACGTTTTTGAAATCCTCTTTAATAAATGAGTATCAAATTTTGGATTAGATTATTATTTAATAGCATTAACCTCAAAAAGTATATATATATATATATATAGATATATATATATATATATATATATATATATATATATATATATATATACTTTAGGTAAGAAGAATTGGCTAAACACAAAGTGGCACATGTTATGTTACACGAATACAACCACCCTGTCCACTTATGTATATCTCCTATCATAAACCCTTAACATGAACCTATCATAAAACCCTGCCCTAGTTTTCCACTTAGTTTATTTCACATTTGAAAATTTAGTAACGGTATATGTTACGTTTCACCAAAAATGGAATTCTGTCTGTCGTCCCTAGATAAATCTTGATTTAGTTTTAGCTTAACAAATGTTTAATGTTAAAAAACTAATGGAAGTGATGGTGACTCACTTATAATCTAATGCTTAAAAGAGTTTATCACCATAACTTTAAGCCGTCACGCCACAAATGTAATTTCCAAAGGGTTCTTGTTTCTTTCACTAAACCTTCAACCTGTTGTAGATATAATAACTGCTGCAATGGGACATGCACTGGCCTCAGAAGGTGGTTTCTGCGCAGGAAGTCACCGAGTTATTGATCACCAAGTATCTACAACTGATAATAGCAACATACTTACATTTTCTTTATATATATATATATATATATATATATATATATATAACATCAATGTAATTGCAATTTCTTACTCATAAAATACAATGATTGTATTTGTGCAAAATTAAGTATTTTGCTATTATAGGTTAAAAAAAAGTAGATTGCTATTATCGGTTAATAAATGTAAAGTAGGTTGCTTTGATGAGTAAAAAAATAAAGTGGATTGCTCATGTTTGTGTAGAAGGTGAGCAGCTCTGGGTATGTGTTTTCTGCATCTCTTCCCCCATACTTGGCAATTTCTGCTATTGATGTCATAGAAGACCCTCAACTCATAACAAAGTTAAGAGATAATTCTAAAATATTAACCACAGGTTTATAATTTGTTTGTCTCCCAATTTTATTTTATGAAAATTACACTATTTCATATTATTCAGATGTCTTATGAATAATATTACAGGATTGTAAGATAGATATACAAGGGTTGGAACTTGAAAGTGATGTAATGTCACCTCTTGTTTTCCTCAAACTAAAAAAATCCACAGGGTCTGTGAATTACTCGAAGATCTTGCTGATTGCGTAAGTCTCTCTTTTTTTTTCCATCAAGTAAATGACCATTTTACCCTTTTTGTTTGTTGAATAACGAATGATATAAATAACTACAGGTATTTAAGGAACACTAACAACTTCTAAACGATCAATGGTGGATAAATGCAAGCTGCCTGTGGGGATCAGAATAGATGTATGTCTCAGCTGCTCATGCAGAATCTGATCTGAAGAAAGCATGTGAAGCATTGAACAACAATTTTGTGTATTTTTTTTTTTGGTAGTGATGATGATTTATTTTACCATTTTTTGAGATGCTAAGTTGGTTTTTTGTTCATATGTATGTGCTTCCCCTGTTAACTTTGTAATTTCAGTTTAATTTATACAACATAATTTTTGTAATTCATCCAATTACTCCCACATGTATAAAGGAGGTAAAACTCTGAGTGATGCTGCAAAAGGGTTAACTCATTGTAATCTCCCATTAGCATCATCCTTTAGATTCAACAGGTCTTCAGTTGACATGGCGGCTGCTGGTGGTGGTGGGTTGTGACTTTCCAGTGGAGGAAGAGGAACTGCCTTTATTTCATCTATTTTTCCATTATCATACACCATCTTTCTTTCACTTTAAAATCAAAATTTCATCTGTAATCTTTTGCACTTTCTTTTCCCCTGAAAACTTGAACCTAAAAATCTTAACACTTGTCTGCATAAAAAGGAAAAACCAACACTTTGGATATACATTTCCATAATCACAAACTAAAGTCTCATTTTCTTTTTGAGATTTGTGGTGCTACATTATTATATATATGAAATATTTCAATGGTTATAATGAATGGTCCGATTTTAAGGGTATTTTAAGATGCACTATCGCGTTGTTTTTAATCAAATAATCAATTGTCTTGTAAAAAGAAAATCAAAGATTTCATGTTATACTTTTGTGTGTAAATATTTAATCTCAAAAGAATTCCTTTTTTTTTTCTTTTCTTTTCTTTTTTAATTTTTTGGTTTTATCTTACTTTTGGTTTTGGGTTTTTTCCATATGAAAACTGTTCAAATTATATATATATATATATATATATATATATATATATATATATATATATATATATATATATATATATATATAAAAACAAGAAAAATTCCAAAACTCCTAACATTTTATTTGAAAATGCACAACTTAAGCCATATTATAAAAGTTTAGGTACTGAAATGTAAAAGTATATGAAACAGAAGCATCCAAATTGTAAATTATTTCATATCAGCAATTTCATGATGCTATTCCTTCAACCACCTTTGTGCCGATTTGCATATCACGATACCGGAATCAGCTCACCGGAGATTTGATGCTACAAAATGTCGTTGGTTCAACGACAACCGACCGATTCGTCGGATTGCATGCTACCGGGACCACCCTCTCGCAACAATGGTGGATCTGCTGACCTCGTATCAACCGGCCTCCTCGCATATGCCGCCGGTAGCACCGTTCCTATCGTCGATACTCACTCCATGCAACTCGTCTGCGTCTTTCCTATCCCTCCTCCTGCTGCCACCTCCGGTGCCAGCAACACATCCTCCTCCTCCTCACTGTCCCCTTATGTCACCTCTGTCCGTTGGTGCCCTACGACACTCCGTCTAGACCTTCTCTCCCATGACCTTTATTCGTCCCATTCTCACCTTCTCCTCGCCGCCGGCGACCGCCAAGGCCGTATTTGCCTCCTCGACCTTCGCCAAAAATCAGCCCCTTCGCTCTTCCTCCAAACCGATCAGAACTCCAAACTTGGAATCCAAGACCTTTGCTGGATCCAAGCCCGATCCGACTCATGGATAATCGCTGCCCTAATGGGACCATCACTCCTCGCTCTCTTCAACATCCCCACCGGACGTTGCTTCTTCAAATACGATGCATCGCCAGAACTCTTCTCGTGTATTAAACGTGACCCTTTCGATTCACGCCATTTATGCGCCATAGGTTTAAAAGGCCTTCTCCTGTCAATCAAAGTCCTTGGGGACGTGTCCGATTCTGATGTCGTATTGGAAGAACTCAAAATCCCTACAGATGTATCTGAGTTGAATAAGCTTGAGAGAGAAGTCGGTATCGGCGTTGGTTCAGCCGCTACACTAAATAATTCCCCGACGACGGCGACGTTGCCAACTTATGCAGTCAAACTCGCGTTTTCGCCTCATTGGAGACACATTTTGTATGTTACTTTTCCGAGGGAATTAGTCGTGTTTGATCTGCAGTACGAAACGGCTCTGTCTCGTTCCAGTTTACCGAGAGGATGTGGGAAGTTTCTCGACGTGTTGCCGGACTCAAGTATGGAGCTGGTTTATTGTGCTCACCTCGACGGCCGACTTAGTGCTTGGCGACGAAAAGAGTGAGTCATTATTGTCGCTTAACCAAAAAGCAAAACATATATGGTTTGCTTATTTGTGCCATTGTTATAGTCAATCTCTGATTTCATTATTGCAGTGTCGTTTAGAATTGCATAAGGTTTAGGAGTTTTAGGGAATCGGAAAACCTAATAATTTGCATATCACCGCAGAGGAGAACAGGTGCACGAGAAGTGTCTCATGGAAGAATTGATGCCCTCAATTGGCACATCGGTCCCAACTTCCTCAGTTCTTGCAGTTGTCATCTCTCAATCAGATGCCACCCTCCAAAATGTCGGCAAGCATTTTTCCGATGGACATCGACCTTCATCTCCTGACAACGAATTTGATATGGATTTTGATAATCCTTTTGATTTTCGTGATGATTCACATATCATTTGTAGAACACATTTTATATCCATTTCTGATGATGGAAAAATATGGAATTGGCTTCTCACTTCTGAAGACCCCACAGATAATCCAAAAGATACATTTGACCCTGCACATGTTGCAGAAGTCCGTAAAGATCCATCAACCTCTACTGTAAGCCAGGATAAGCTAACGCTCAAGGTTAATAACTAATACTAAACTATGGCTATTCAATTTCTATAAGTTCAAAGTTATGATTCTATTATCCTTATAAATCACGCATTTTGTGAATCAAAATCTTGGTGCAGATCAGTCTTGTTGGTCAACTTCATCTCCTTTCTTCAACACTGACATTGTTGGCTGTCCCTTCTCCTTCTTTGACAGCAACTTTGGCAAGTGAGTTGTTATATCTGTACTTTCTAGTTTTCCTTATGATTCTTTAAAACTTCATTTTTACATTCATCAGTTAGTGAATGAGACATTTATGATATGTGATGTGAAGGTGGTGGAAACCATCCTGCTGTGGCTGTTCCACTGGTTGCTTTGGGAACTCAAAATGGTTCAATTGATGTTATTGATGTTTCTGCAAATGCTGTAGCTGCAAGTTTTTCTGTACATAATAATCTTGTAA